CACTCCCTTTGTGTCTAATTCCATTTCGTGGAATACCGATGATACCTTTTGCTGTTATGTGTGTGTGTGTGTGTGCTGCTGGTTTTGCGATTTCATTGTCTTATTTGTGCCGCTTTTTTGCTGTACTTTAGCCATCAATTGCCAATGAATTTGATGGCAATGACTAAACGCCTCTGATGAATAAATACATCGGGCCATTAACTGAATCACGTATATAACCTAATTTTCTTTTGTTCTTTTCTGGACGAGAGAATGCTTGAACAACTTATACTGCCTTCACGTGCAAAATGTACATGCACAACGGCTGGCGGTAACCATTCCTATACTTTTTCTGGCTCCATCTCTCTCTCTCTCTCTCTCTCTCTCTCTCTCTCTCTCTCTCACACATACACACATTTTCTACCTTTATCTAGATGTCAAGTGGTATTTTCGGTGCGCAAACCCATTCTACATTATTCAATGTCTGAGTTTGAACGAGAGGAGCGAAAGAATAAACGTGTATCTATGTTCGCTTCCCTGTAAATTGCAAAGGCACACGAGAAAATTGCTAGCACTTTGCGACGTAAAAGCATTAATCAGTGTACAAAGTTCAGACGGCACATAATATCGTTGTTATTGGCTGTGTAAGTGAGATTGAGCTTGATGCTTCATTTTATTTCAACGCTTGCTTTTTTCTCTTTGCTTCGCCTGATCATATTTGGTGCGTATGTGTGCACATCTTCGCACATTTTTTTCTTCTCTTCATTCATTTATTTCTTATGTACATTTATTGATTCATTTAGATGTATGTGCACATTAGGGTGGCCCAAAAAAATAAGTATTTAATTTTCAACATTCCAGGCCGGTTATATCATATTCGGGACCTAGAAACACGATATGGACCGTTACTTTGTTCAATTGGAAAACCCAGGCGCTACAAATCCATTTGGTAAATTACTCGGCGGGCCATTTTGGTGACATTTGAAAGTCTTCTAATTTCTTAAAAAATTATGTGAAAAATAGATAGTGGTTTTTTGGTACGATAAAACTGAATCTGACGTTAATTTTGCGATACGACCAATTTTTAATACATTTTTCATACAAAAAATGTCGATTTTGTATTTCAAATGTCACCAAAATAGCCAAAGTAACGGTCCATATATTTTTGGGCCCCGAACATGATAAAACCGGCCTGGAATGTTGAAAATTAAATAATTATTTTTTTTGGGCCACCCATACATGTATGTTCTCCTTTCAATTTGATCCTATTACGACTAATACAATTTTTACCATTACGATCACACCTCAATATTTGGTTTCAAAAAAAAATTCACTTTTTGTGTATGTGATGGATTGCCAAATGTATAAAATAATAAAATGTCTTACATCCGTAAGATGAACTTTTCCGCACTGTGATCCACAACATGCATTTATTACAAATCTTTTACTCAAAGAATTCACGAGAAAACTGAATCTGACATTAGTTTTACGATACGAATAATTTTTGAAGCACTTTTCATACAAAAACTACTAAAAATGGGAATTTTTGTTTCGCAGCCATGCCTATATGATATCGTAATCATATGAAAATTTGCAGAGGTTATTGTTTTCACAAAAAGTTAACATTCTGAAAGTTTGAAGAAATTTCAATGCATATTAAGGGTACTTGAGCGAAAAATCCAAAATTTTGTTCGGAAGGTATTATGCGTTGAAATGTCTTCAAACTCTCGGAATGGTATTTTTGTGCGATAAAAATAACCTGTGCAAAGTTTTAGCTTATTACGATATCATACAGGCATGGCTTCCATACATAAATTCAATTTTTTGACATTTTTGTATGAAAAGTATGTCGAAAGTTATTTGTATCGCAAAACTAACGTCATATTCGGTTTTCTCGTACCCAGAAACCCCCCAATACATATTTTTGTGTGTTTAAGAATACATTAAATATCACTTTTGGAAGAAAAATTGAATTTTTCCCATGGATGGCCATGGGCATCACACCAGACATGACACTTCACTCTGTCAACCAAAGTCGCTCAAAATCTAATGGTTTCTATTCCTCGGCACCCCCAATCATCCTGTGAAGTCAGATTTTGAATTACTTTTCTTGTTTGAAAGTTATCGTGTTAACAAATTTTTGCGTACAGGATACGGGATACAGGGTACAGGGTACCACGCACATACATTCGGACATCGAAAAAACGGTAGATTCGTGTTCCCCGGCTCCTAAAATACCCAGAAAACATGTTTTTTGAGGGTGTTAATTTTTCTACCGATTCCAGTACTTTACCTTACACACTAGGTGTGTGCGGAAAAGTAAAATGCCGACCACTTTTTTTCCTTGATTTTTCTGTCGCCTGTGAAACATCATCAGACATTAAATAATGTGTTCGGATAAAAGAACAAAAGTGCGTGTTTGTTGAAAAATCTTATTTTTGGTGATTAAATCACAAGCACAAACTACGAATGACTCAAAACTCAAAATGCTCGACTTTAATAACAGGTTCCAAACTACGACTAAATGCTGGCACTATTATCTGATTGACACTAAAGCAACAATAATGCTGTCTTTATTTGGTTTACTGTCTCGTTGGATCATCGCATACAATCCCATAAATAACGTGAATTTATATCTGTTACCAATGTTCTTCTATCGCACTCTTAAATTTTACGTTATTCATTATCAAATCATTCGATGCACACTTGCTCTGGTCTCTGTATGGAACAATTTATTTTTTTCTGGTTTCTTCTACTGTTCTGCATGTTCTTGTCATCTTTCAATATCCGGCTTTTGTGTTACAACCGACTTACAACATCGTTGAAGGTGCCATTTTCCTCACTTTTTCTCTCTTTCTCTCCGTTTTCCATCGTTTAATACCTTTGTACATATTTATTAACTCTGTAAAGATTTAAACGATTCTCTAAAGTTAAACATTGTATGCTTGAATTGCATACATTTACCCTGTCACTCGATCTATGTGCGCGCGTGCGAGTAAAAAAAAAAGTGTTTCAAAGCTCTTAAGACTTAAGTAGACATCAAATACGTTCTATATATTTTTCTTTTTTCATGAATACAGTAGCATGATAGCACGAGAAAAAAAACAAATACACACAGAGTGTATATTAAACGAGCAAAATGAACAAATTGAGAAAAATCCACAAAGAAACAGCGTATAAAAAGAACACGAGAAAAATGTGAAGTAAGAGAGAGAGAGAGAGAGAGATTGTGCTTTCATTTGTTGCATTTTCGAATGAATTGAAGCAGGTATTTAATGATGTCAGAAAAAGGACTAAAACCCCAAATGGAAAACTAAAAGCACAAACCAAATTGAGAATAATTCGATGCACGTTCCATGAATTTCGATCGACACACACTAAAACTTGTATTTTACCCGTTGATTGCCAGAGATTTGCATTGATTTAAAAAAAAGAGACATTTTTTAAATCGAACGATGCGATTTTGTCTCAATCGTCTGTTCGATGTCCAAATACTTACCTCGACTATCGCCTTGGCATCGTACTACTACTTTACTTTCTTTTTCCTTCTTCGCTTTTTTTCCCATTCTATAAATTTCTTATTGGATTTCTAAGAGATTTTTTTTTTCATTCGTTCTGTCTTTCTCTCTATCTTTCTGTGTTTCGTTTCCATCGTTTGCTCCTTATGCGCGTCCGATTGCGAAGGATTACAAAAATTTAATTAAAATTTTCACAAAAAGAAAATTTTCAAATGACGTTCCACTTTTCTGTCGAAAAGTTTTATTTGCACAAACTTTGCTCATTGTTTGTGCTCGTGCTTACGCTTTCACACAAACATATATCGAACGTGTTTGGGGTGACCAAGAAAGCGAGCGGCTTCGACGAATCGACGAATAATGACAGAATTGATGATCTCACGGTATGGATGATGCTCTTTACTATAAACTATTTTCAAACTGTGGGATTGACACCCATGAACGTTTGAAGTAATATAAAAATCTACCTTTTTTCCTTCCTCTCGCCATCTACAAACGCCAATCGTCCGTGGATCTTCTTTGCTTTTCATAAGCATTTTCTTGTTCTTCATTGCGTGTGCAATGTACATAGAATAAAATGCTATTAAGAGCATTTCTATAGACTTTTAAATTGTAAAAGTTGTGTTTGCTCACTGTTACGCAAACACTAAATGGAAAAGAATATGAACAAAAACACCTGAAGTGGTTCGTTTTGTTCGGTGAATCTAGTGCAAATGCACAATTTATTTCGAGCGTTGTCGCTATCGTCGTCGCTTTCGCTATTCGCAATCGTTGTCCGTTAGTCACAGTTGAAATGTAGTCTCACATTGGCTTGAGAGCTGTAGTAGCGGTAGCAGCGGCAACAGCAGTGTCGAATAAAACAAACTACACAGAGAGAGACAAAGCAAATTCTCGTTTGGTAAGTATCTGTCTGCTGCAAGGTCTGCTGTTCGTCTTTTATGGGGATGCGGTTCAATTTGCAATTTTTGGTACGCTTCGGTGCGTTCAAAGTGCATTCGGTCGACGATTCATCAAGAACTGACATGAGAGCATCTCAATTTATTCATGACCCCAAAATGAATAGCATTGCATTTAAATGCCGCCAAATGTAACCGTTCCCCAGGAATCTTGTGTTGTATCTCAACGAAAGCTCAAACCCGTGTAAAATGTGAACTGATGCAGAGCGCGAATGAACGAGAACAGACGATGACGGACTGAAAGAGATAGGAGATCTACGAGTTCTGTCACGGTGCGCCATTTGGATGTGGTTTTATCAGATTCCCGCTAAAATACATTTGCAATCCACACTCACCAAACTTTATAAACTTCGCTACTTCAAATGGACTTGGTGTGGTTGCATTGGGTCGTGTATGTACAAAGTATTCAATAGTTCTCTCTTTCCCACTATAAATTGACTGAAATGACTAAATTCAATATTTAAAGTAAGTGTTGGTAATTTGTATATCATTAAAATTTTATTCATATATTTAAATTTTAAACAATAATTGATAAATTTTTTTTTCCTGTTTTTTTTTCATCTTCAATTATTCACCACTTTTGTCTGTCTTTCTCGTCTATTTTTTAGACTGACTTTCAAATGTTTTTTTTTGTTTGCAATTTTTTTCACATTTCGTCTTCATTTTTCTTTGTTTATCTTCTAAAAACAATGAGATACATGGATACAATTTATTTAATTAATTCTATTTAAAAATGTATACAAGTTTTTACGTTATTTCAAGAGTTATTACAATTTTTTTTTCTTTTAAATCGGTTTTATTTCTGTTTTGTATTGATTAGAATTCAAACTGTCATATGACTGCGAGAACCATCATGGGTAACAAATATATTCTATAAAGTGACAAAGACTAGACAAATTCCAACGGAAAGCGAATATTTTTGGTTGGTTTTCGTCTACAAATGTATTGATTTGACCAGCACCTTTTTGAGTAAGCAAAATAATGTTTTTTTTTTTCTTTTTTTTCAAACTTTCAGCAACATTTTCAGTGTGTCTCTCTTCTATCACTCTCTTTTCATTTGTTTGTTTTTTTCTCTTCCGGTTACCGATTAAAATTTCACTCATTTTCATTTATCTACATTAATATAACAGAATCTTCCCTTTGGCTCGTTGTTTTTCTTCTTCTCTCTAATAAATGATTTTTCATTCACAAACGTATACGTATCATCGGTTTAAAATTTGGCCAAATAAATCAATGAAAATATTGTTCTTCTTATCCATGTTGATAAATCTACAAATAGTGTTCAATAGTGTTGGCACACCCATTTACATGCCGAAAAGTGGATCCACAACAACCGAAAATTTTCCCACAGTTTTCTCTCTCTCTCTCTCACACACACACATATACATTCTCTACCTCTTCTTCTCTCCTCTAATCTAAAACTAATAAATGGGATTAAATCTCAAAAATGAAGCCAAACTGCAATATCCGATTTGTGGTTCGGTAACGAAAATTTGACTAGTTAACAAACACCGAGGGAAAATTCTGGGCGAGACCAACTTTTTGTCGGCTGTTCAAACATTCGATGATTTTTCTTGTTCGTTTTCATGTTATTTTTTATTCTTTTTTTTTTCATTTCTCGTGCAGGTTGCTGAAAATGCTTTAGCGAAGAATGATTTGAATGCAATGGTTTGCATAGGGGATAAAGGTTGAAATGGAAAAAGACACATAAGAGTAGCGATTCAAGAAGACGATGTCGGAATCGAAAAGGAAATTTTTCTTCATCAAAATGAAAATCATATTTATTGAATTTTGTTCATGTCAAACAAATATAGGAGAAAAACTATTCGAATGGTAAAACATCGATTTTTTTTAATAAGAAATAACACATAAAAGTATTGACATTTCATTTATCAAAATCTCGTGGAATGAATCATAAAAGAAGAGAGTGAAAAAAACACGAAATTGCAAGGACATACGTCAAAACTATTTTGAATGAAACATTACTATATTTTCAATGTGCATGTAGTTATATAGCCACCTTCTCGTATTCAACTCTTTATATCACACTCTGCCAATTTAAATGATTAGTTTACATTGATAAAATTTGAATAAATACGGAAATATTTATGATGTATTTGCGAACACAATACCGCAAACTTGCACCCGCATGAATGCATCAACAACATGTGCATCGATATTATATTGGAAAATGTACACACTCCAATTCATGCGATGTGTGTTTCTGCTGCCATAAAGTATTAGCATCAGCAACGAGATACTAGCTTACCCTATCGCTCTCGATGTGCTTTCGATTCGGGTGTTATGTTTTTATTCTCAAAATCGTGCGTGAGAGGGGAGGAAGTGGAGCAGCATGAATTCGAATCAGTTTAGCATTTGTCACCATGAAATCAACGGCATTGGCGAGTTTAAATGCTCGATTTTACCACAATTATTTATAATAGCGCATTTCAAAACCGCTTCATTGCGGTTAGAAACTATGCTCAATTAACATAATTTCAAGTGCGAGCTACTCAAATTTAGTTTCTAATTTAATTCCCATTTTTCTCTGTCCTCTCGCTGTCTCTAACCTCGTCCTCCTCATCATTGTCCTCGTCACTATTACCATCGTCACTGACACAATGAACTGTTTCCGGATGCATTTGATTTGCATTGTAATTCTTTTTGATGAGAAAGTGATGCGGATGATTTGCAATATATTGTGTACTGTTTGGAATCTTTATTATTAATTTCAATAGATATTAAATGCATATAGTTTTTTTTTAAATAAATATTGTCAACCTTCTGTTTTTGAGTGTCGTTGAAAAAACTGTGACAAATGAAAAATGTTTAAATTGATTGCAATTTTGCTTTCAGCAGTCCTTAAAATAAAAATGGAACAATCAAAAAATGCTCTCGACTTGAGAATCAAACACGCGCTCATTTGAATGCCATCGAAAGGCTTCTACAAAGTGGAAAACAATTAGTCACCCCTTGTAACAACAAAAGCAATAGCATAAACGAACGATGAAAATGGCCAAATAACTATGGCAGGTCAGCTAACTTCGCTTGATGCGATTACGAATGATTGAAGTGAAGCATTCAGAAGCTCTCACTATACTATGTCGCACTGTTCTTTCATTCGTACTTTTTACATTGTTGAGCCACATATTTCATTGAATGTAATTAAATTTTTAATTTTAATTTTACTGCTAAAATGCATTTATTTATTGGGGCCATGGTTTGGGGTAGGACAGATTTTTTTGCTTGTCGCCCTGTCAAAGTGATTTTACATTAAATCTATTTCAAATTGTTCGATGATTGTTGATTTTTTTTCTTCTCGCACAGTTGGTGCTGTTTGAATATTGTTGTTTTTGTTTTGAAAATTCAATGTTGACATGAAAACAACGGAAATGATTAATTGTTGAAAATGACAGCTTATTGCAATAGAGATTTATTTTCTCTCCTTCGACCGTGTTTTGTAAAAAAAATCCATTTTGTCACAATATTTTTGACGATCATTCAAAATCAGCATTTGATGAAATATTCAAATCGTTTATTACATGAATCGGTTTTTTTTCTTCTTTTTCTCACAATTTAATAGCTTAAATGGCAGATGTTATATAAAATCACATAAGTTAATCGGTAAATGATTTTTTCATTGAATTCTAAATTTGATTTAATTTTTGCTATGTTCATTCGTTTTTTTAATGTGGTTTTTATGTTTTCTGAAAATGATTTTTGATGTGAGCATTGGAAATGTGTGTATATATGAATAATATGCAATTTTTTTGTATTCATTTATTACGTTATTTCACATGCTGGCAAAAGCTTCTGCCGAATAAAATATATTTCCTAAAAAAAGTCGCTTAATTGTTCCAGAGATTTTTGTTTAAATATTTATTAGATCATCTCCCATTTGCTCGATAGACATAGAATGAAATGAGATTTGTTTATGGTACATTTTCGATTTGTTCTTACACAAGTGTATTGTGTGTATTTGTTTAATTTGATATTGACGGATTATTGGCAATAACGAGAAATTTCATTTGGGTCGCGTACGTAATTCTTATCGATTTTTTCCCTTCCTTCTTTCCGTTGTGTAGCCCATACATAGTGTGTTCATTATTCTTGCGGTGTATTGTTTCTGTATTTATTTTACGTTATCTCGTCTATGTCGTTCATTATTCCATTCGTTTCAATTGCAATGCGGTTTGAAAATGAGCAATTGAGACATTGAGGATTTTGCGAAGAAGATTATAAGCACTTCAACCATTGCGTAACGTTCGGTGTGTGAGTGTGTATTTTGTTTTGTCATTTCCATAAAAAGGGAATCTCTTGTTTTAAAAATGCCTTTTATGTTTTGCATTTTGGCTTGAATTTATTTCTATCTAACATTTCGATTGAATAAATTAATTCATCTTACCATAAGTACTGTGTTGTGAGCGCCGTCGTTGGGGAACGAGCCAAGTGATTGAATGCATGGATGTATTTTTGAATGTCGCTAGAGATTCGAAAGCAAACGCATTCATTTGGAACATTGTATTTATTGTTATAAATGTGTGTGTGTGTGTGTGTGTGTGTGTGTTGATGAATACGTTTTTAGGCCACTCTCTTCGGCGAAGACCAACACTCGGCACACTCCATCCCAAACATTTTATTTCACACTACATTCCATTAGCACTAGTCGTTCGTGTTTAAATTTCTGTCGAGTGATAACAATTGTCTCACTTTTGTTCGTTCTCTTTCTCTCATTATTATTTTGCATTTTCTATTTGATTCTTTCTGTTTTTTCCCTTCGTTTCTTTTATTGTTGAGTATTTTCACTGCGTTTAATGTTCATACTTTTTGTTGTCAATGGTTGTTCGCTTCTGTTTCGTTCGTATTTTTGGCTTTGTCCAGAGTCAAATTCAAATGAAATTTAGGCCGTGAATATGAACAGAAGAAAACTTTACGCAGAAATAACTTCAGCATTTCTTTCCTCTCTTGTTCCCTCAATAATGATGGCAATAACATTTGGAAACAAAAATAAAACTAGAAAAATTAATTAAGAAGCACACAGAGAGACACACATACACAATGGAGTGAAATAGACGGAGATAGGAATTGGAGTCAACCGACAGCGCTCTGCATTGAAACGGTGATTGTGGTGGCAGTGTAACACGATGGCAGCAAATGGTAAAATTTAATGGGGAGTCAAAATAAGAGAAATCAAAAAGTGTTTCGCTTAGTGTGGCACTTAATGTATATATGGGCTGCTGTTTGTACAATAATATCGCAATTTGAACTCATATGCTTTTGTGCTGCATTTCGAGGCCAATCTGGTTGCATATCGATCTATTCTCGTGTTCGCCATTATCAATAAAGCGCCCACATTTTTATTCCAAATTTTTATTCCACATTTTTGATCCAATCTACTCTCATTCCGGCCAATCCAATTTCATTTGGTTGAAATGTGATAGATTGCGAATTTTAAGCGATTCCCGTTCGTTTGTTTGTTTATCTGTCTGTTTTCTATATATATTACTTTTGTTGTTAATATCATTTCGTTTATAGTCAGAATCTTGTTGTATTATTTGCTAATGTTCTGTCACACAATGCATTCGAGGAATTTTCCATTCTTGTTGGTGGCTGCGGAATTTCGGGCACAGTTTGCAACAATGAGACGGGATGCTTTGAATTCTGTAACCAAAGATATAAGAGAATGAGAGAGTCGAAAAATATAAATAAACAAGAGAATGAAAGAACAACGACAATTGAAGAAATGGGTACTGAAATAGAAAAGTGGAATAGACAATGAGAAAAGAAAATGAATAGCGAAGAAACATTGCTAACCATATACGAATATAAGTGAGTAATGGTTTTGTGTGTGTGTGTGTGTGTGGTATCTCAATGGAATGTATTATATGGAAAATAGAAAATTACGATAGAAAATTAACAAAACGCTTTGTTGACAAAACAACTTGGTCGGTTCATACTATCAACCATAACAAAAATGTCATCAATTACAAATATAACTAGATGTTGACATACAGACACATACACACTTCACATTTTCAAGTTACAATGAAGTGACCATAATGTTTCAAACGCCTGAAATAATAACTGTAGAATTCCATTCCGCTTAAAAACAACAACACTATCAAGAGCATTTATAATGCAACGACAATTGATGGCATTTATCATGTTCTTTCGAATCATTTTTACCGTTGTATTTGTCATTTAGATACATAGGTGCGCATGTAGATTCTGAGGTCCCAAATTTGCTCATCTCGATTTGCTCTTTCGATTTGCTAGGACTCTTTGACCAAAGATCTTTCCGCCGGGACCTCTTCCTGAATTTCAGTCATTATCGCCCACCTAACATTTTTGGCGTTTTATGCTTAGATTCTATGGCCAATTGCATGCCATTTCGATTGGCAAGATTGTTTTTCGATAATTCCAATACACTAAATAGTCTCATAGATGAATGGTTTTTGGCAAAATTAGCCTGAATCAACTTCAACTGTTGCATTTAAATGATCAGCAATGTATGAATTACCAACCAAGTAGTATGACGTACTGGCAAGTAAAGCGAATGATACAGACAGAGCATTGTTGAAGTTATCATTAAATTGCTTCGCCTAACATCAAAAATTGTGTGATGCATAAAATTTGCAAGCAATATACAAACTGAAAAATTGACTAACTTCCAAAGTAGATTTTCACTTGAACTGTCTGAAAAACACGGATTCGCAACTGGAATTGCATAATTTGCAAAATTTGCATCAACCCATTAACTTTACAAGTGCCAGAGGGAAATGAACATTGGAAGTTTTCGTTTTTCGAAAACGTCGACCAAATTGTGAAAGTGATGCAATAAGTATGAACGTATAATGTCACTGTTATGCATATTATTAAAGGAGTTTAAATCCGTAGAAACGTGCAGTTTAATTCAATATGAGCTTTATGAATCGATTTTCATTGAGAGGCACAAATGCATAACTGAAACCCTACAGATTATATTGTAACAACAAATGTAATCAATCAAAAGACGAGCTTCCGTAATGCTCAACAATCGCAAAATAACTTCGGGAAATGATTTTATAAAAATAAAAATGTCAACAACTAATTTTGCCATATTTTCTCTGTGTTGCATCGATGTTTTTCGGTCGAATATGAGTGAAAAAACAAATTCAATACAGTTTCTACGTTGTCAAGAGCGCGATGTGATTCGGTTATTTTTCTCTGCAAAATATGGATACATAATATTCGTCGCATAGAGGTATGCTTAAAATTTGGCGCTGCTTCGGTAAATTGAATATGGATGATGTGGTTTGCGAATTGCTAAATATTTTATGGGAGCTTTCGTCTTCTATGCTTCGCATATATGCATTCATATTTGTGTGATGCTTATTCTCTCCCGATTTTTTTTGTTGTTGTTTGCTTACTTTTATTTGTATCACAAAAATATTTCATAACAATATACAAAAAAAAATCCGACAACGAAACAAAATGTAATTGAAGCTGAAACTGAAGTAGAATGAAATATAATCAAGAAGAAAAAAAACCGAAAGAACTGAGGAAAAAAATCAAAATGAGAAATGAAATTAAAATGATCGACAAAACAAACGTGAAAAAAAGCACACAAATATTGGTTGGGAAGAAAAAATGTCAAGGTTTTTATTGTGAATTGTATAAAAATGAGTGTTATACCGTTGTGTCAGTGGAAATGTCCCTTTTGTTGGCGTTGCTGCTACTGTTGTTGATATTGCTGCTGCTGCTGGCTGTAGTTGTAATTGTGCTATTACCATCACTCGTCGTATCATTCGAAGCGTTTATTAAATTAATTGTTGGCATTGTCGGCCTGTTGGCAAAAACAGCTGGTGGAGGCGGAAACGCGTTGGATGGATGAGATATTGTTACACCAGTTGCGCTGTTCGTTATATACATCGAATTGGCTGCATACATTGCGTTTGGCCGCGCCAAATCGATCTGTGTATTTAACCCGTGCGCGCATCAGCATCCGCGTATACGCGTTCAATTTCCCAATAATGAAAGAAATTTCAAAATTGAAGGAAAAATAGAAGAAATGGTGGAGAGAGAGAGATAGAGAAAAAAAAGCAAATACACAAAAAATTAATAATCAATCTCTTAAGATCTTAATTAAGAGATAGAATAGTGTTTTTGTTTTGAAAAATGAAATAATAAAAATGACAAAAAAAAATCTATCATCGCTTAACAAAAAGGATGACATTGTCGGTGGTCGTTTTTTATTGCTGGTTATTTAGTTGAATATTTGAGATTTTATTAAAGGTGACATGGCAGCTGAAGTGATATACACCTGAACTGTGTGCCTTTTGTGTTAATCAATTGGAATTTTTGAAACCAATACACACATCGCACAATATTGCCTGGTTTTCCGTTCATTAGTATAACTATATTATTGTCGCTTGTGTGGCAAAAGCTATGTGCAATGCTCAAAAATCACGTATCATTTAGATGTGACGCGTGGTTTTATGGAAAACCAAAAGAGAAAGCCGGTTATATCTACCAGAAAATTCTTAAATATATGTGGTTTCCAATTTACACAAACGCATCTCTACCCACAATAATTCTTTGTTCAAACCACAAATTGATTATTGTTTATGATGAAAGCACATATTCACCGAGTTTGTTGATAACTCTCTCTCTCTCTTTCTCTCTCACATGCAGTGATAATGTGTAAAAGAGAAGAAAAGCGTAAACGGATTGAAATTTATAAATTGAGTCCAGAGTCCAGACTGGGCTCAAAACTAAATCAAATATCAACAATAATTGCCAACAGCATTTCAACCATCCAACAACTCAATTGTTTTCGTAATTTTCATTAAATGCATCCATAATAAAATCGAAAATGATTTACTAAATTGGCATGTGTATTTCTGCGTATACAATAAATTAACACAATGAAACCGAAAAGCATTCCAAATTGAACATAAGAAAAGAGCCCATTCAAGACAAAAGACAAAGCCGCTATTACTGTTTTGTCGATTGCATTCGATCCTCTTCTCTCGCTCCTTCGTTCGCACATTTAATGGTTAAATTAAATACATTTGCATATATACGGTATGCCCTTCGCATTTGCTTGATCGTCGTCGATATTGACCGAATACTGAATATATATATATATAATATATAAGGATAATCGAGCGAAAAACTTACTTGAGCGTATATTGTTGGTTCCTGTTGTTTCATGTTTGATGTTCGTGGTCGTCCTAAGGTCGATGTAAAATGCACTCGTTGCACTGGCGATGTGACCATAAGTTCAGCATAAGTTAAATCCTACAAATCGGCAATTGGATATATTGCAATAAATGTCCCAAAAAAACCCAACATGTTCACATTTACAAATAAATTGGTGAACATTTTTCGCATACATTATTTCAGTCATGCAGAGAATTGTTCGAGAGCCAGAGAAATGGTTCGATACATATAAATGTGTGTATGCACTATGCAATACAAATGACACATATACACCATGCACCTATATATGTGGCAGAAACAAAGTCATCACACGCCCAGGGGTTGTAAAGCTTGCTTCGATCACGCGCGTTTAAAGTAAAAATTCTAAGTTCGTCCAGAGTTTATCTTTGCAAAATATGAACACGTCTTGTAAATATTTGCGAATTTTTCATTTCTCTCTTTTTTTGGTTGTGTGTGTGGGGGGGGGGGGGGGGGGGGGGGGAGAAACCTTCCCCAAAACGAGACTCTTTGTTAATAAATGCAAATAAATGAGCATGAATATGCACGCTTTTATGCGGCCACGAGCAGACATATTTTTAAATGAAAAAATTCCACGTGGTCTACACGTATTCCACCGAAATTCTCTTTTGGCTGCTTTCGACCCAAACACGAATGCTAAATTATTTCGTTGGAAAACGTATGGAATTTGAAATTACAGAATTTTGTGTCTTCTCTCTCTCTCTCTCGCACTCACCACGTCTCTTTCTATGCCTGTCTGTGTCTCATATACATATTTTCATTCCCGATCTCTTTTCGACAACTCAGTAAATAAGGCGGAAAAGTGGTATGCACACAATTTCGACGATTTTAAATTGAATAATTTATTAATAACGTAAATATCTTTTCAAATTCATCAAATAAAAATCACTTAACAAAACTCAAGTGTCAACGTATGTCAACGAATCGTGTGGTTGACCACGCAGCTACTGGGGCAAATAAAACAAAACATAATTTCGAATAGAAAATAGCCCCTAGATGACCCACACTCTTTGTTCAGTTCATATGCCGATGCATTTCTAACACTGAAATCATGAAATGCCAACCATGTGCAGTGCGAACCATGTTCGATGCCATATATACACATACATTGAATGGCATATTTCGACATTCGGCTAAAGTTGGTTTGACGATGTTATAGTTGCCGTCGGTTGATTACGTTGAATATAATGTTTGGCAAAGTAAGCCATTATTAATTGTAAATCAACTGCATAAATGCAGTTGATTGTTCGGATCACAAGGCCATGAATCCTAAATAAAACAGAGCAAACATTGAATGGCGACACAGATAAGAAAAAAGAAAAGAGAAAAAATCTGTATAACCGTATTTTTATTGAATGTATGCACCTGAATCAGAAGACTTGATTACTGTTTTCATTGGCAAAACGGATGGATAAGTTCATCAGGGCCAAAATGCTTCTAGCATCTGATCGGCCGAGAACAGACCAACCAAGCAAAAGTAGAATGCACAAAAATGAAACCTATTGGATATGTGACGCCGATTTCACTCTATTTTCACTCATATCTATCCGTTTCCAGTTCATGCCATTTCCAATGCCTAATTTTCGATTGAATTATTACGAGTCGTTAAAAAGTCATCGCAATTGGTCCGCTTTAATTTATTTAAAATAACCAATTCGTATTTTCTGTCTCTCCCCACCTCTCTCTCACTCTCTGTGTGGTTCACATTGCGAGTGTGTTTATGTTAGGCGAGACAAGCTTTCGATTGTTATGTGTAAATCAAATGGTTTCGAAGGGTGGTACAAAGAGGCGAGAGAAAGATATAATAATTACATTTGGACACACACATTTTTCGTTTGTTTGTGTTGGCTGAATCGGCAAACTTTTTGAACATTTGTTTCGCATCTCGTCCTGTCGTTCAACACTTCCTTGGGTCGCGCGCGACCAAACGACCCAACATCCAAACGGAAACAAACTACATTTTAGATGTGCATTTGGAATAGTAATCTTTCTCATGGCCATTCAATTTTCCAATCCAAATTGATCGTCATTTGTAATTCTTTTTTCTTCGTCGTTTATTATTCTGTTTCACGCTTTTGCCTTTCACCATTTTCTCCGATTCTGAGTGGTTGCTTGGCATTGGTTACATTCCACAGATTCAAATAAAATAAAATAGTAGTTTCTAGTTTAAAGGAATGCATCAGCATTGGTGGAGGTTTTGGGCCATATAGTATAGCTATAGCTTTGTTTCATTCAATTTTGTGCCGATTTTTGGTACGTTCATTGGTTCATTCGAATATTTCTCAATGTATTCGCTCGGTCGTACATTCATTTAGTTTGGTGGCTTCTTTTTGTCACTCTATTCTCACAACACTTTTCGCACACCGTTTTCATTTTGATTTCAATTCAACTCATTGTTAGCAACACATAAGCCGCGCTAGTTACGGATATATATATATAAGTTGGCATTGCAAATGTATAATATTGTCAGGTTGCTATGCGTACACGTTGATATATGATCTCTGATGAGGCAAGTAATCGAAATATATTGCACATGTGCTGCTGCTTCCGTGGTTTTGCATTTGTAGATCACATAGCCGAGGCTGCCTCTTGACTTTGTGCACTGTGTGTATATTTTCCAAAATATTTGGTTTATTCCTATTTCGTCGGCACTGGAAACAAAAGCCGAATGAGAAAAGAAATCAACTCAAACTGCCAAAAAGCAATTTGAAAATAAAAATCACTTGTGATTGTGTATGTGGGGGGAGGCGAAAAACGGCAAAAGTGAGCGAGAGATAAAGATAGTGAACATATTTTTGAGTATATGGTGTCAGTCTGTGTTGAATGCTCATGCGAGATATCACCGGATGCAATTTGATATGTTGTTTTTGAAACGAGTGTTTATCGACGGTTTGGCGTTCAGTTTTGCCAACTAAAAACTACGACCAGATCACAGATTCAATCCAGAAGCATTACTATAAAAATAGATTATATGAATATGTTGTAGATTGTTATTTTATGGATGGTGCATCACATAGCATTTGCTCAGCAGCTAGTCGTTTGCACTATTCAATTGAAATTGCTGAAGAGAGAAATGGGGAAAACAGACCATGAAACAGACTACTGCTCCATATTGCTAAAAAACTGTCTGTGTGCTTGAATTTTCTGGGAGCAACGACGTGTAAATCTATATTGCATATTGCAATATGTACTTGTACATTGCACATAATTTTACGACGAAATACACATATACACATATTCATTAACCATAAATTACGGGCCAAGTTAAAGTTTAGACATACACATCTCATACAAGCCGAATGTTGAAATTGTGATGGCAATGATGTGAAAAAAAAGAAGAGAAACCAAAACGGCACTCAGAAAAAGGGAGCAACAATGCGACTAGTCTATGTGCTGGTTGAAAATCGAAAATCACACCAAACCATTTGAAAACGAGATGAATAATAAGAAGAAAATACAGACACACGCACAAACGCTAACGCTATGAACTATATAGTGTATATACTGAAATTGAATGAACGGAAATAAATAAATAAATACAGGATGGCTCAATTGAAGTGTTACAAAAAGAGAAGTCTGTAACTTTTGCATTTATCCGTATATATTTTTCATTTAAATAAAAAAACGTTGGTAAAAGACATAAATAGAGCCGGCCAATGAACGAGTTACATACTGCCCGAATGTGAGACTCTGGAATTCGCTTCCATTCTCAACGTATGGCTGACCTTAAGGCATCCACACTTTGGTATTTTTTTACACCGACCTTGCAATATACCCCAAATTGAGTAGTCCAATGAATTTGCATCCGGAGAATATGGCGGCCATTGTTCACTCGAAATGAAGGTCGAAACGTTATTTTTGAGCGATTCTTGGGTTACGCGTGCTTTGTGAGACAGTGCAGAATCTTGTTGAAAAGTGTGTGCTCTTTCTTTGAAATGCTTGTGTAGCCATGGCTTCAATACTGGTTCTAAGACAGTTTCACGGTACTTTTGAGCACTTACCTTGACGCCAGCATCCAAAAATACCAGCGGAGAGCGACCATTGGCCGTTATTGCGATCACATGAGCTGGTGCTTGCTTTTTGGTGGCAAACGAAGATGCAAATTTTCATTCGATCTTTTTGCTAAATATACCCGGTCATTTTGTTTGTTTACAAATTGTTCGATGGTAAACATTCTTTCGCCAGAAAAAACAATGTTTGGCAAATGGCCACCTTCGTCCAAACGTTTCAACAACTTTGCTCTAGAAGTTAAATCATGCGCTTTTTGCATCTTCAATGGCTTGACCTTGAGTTCATTTTTCAATATTCTTTGCATGCTAATTCGGGATATTTTCAATTCAGCAGCCATTTTTCTACCACTTCGTCTCGGATTACGATCAATTCTTTTCTTTATTCGCCGAACCATTTCTGATGAAGTTGCTGTCTTTTTCCGACCGCCACCATGACGTTTATCGATGCTGCCAGATTCATTATATCGTTTTATGGTACGATGCACAAACATTCTATTGATATTCAAATGATTTACTTTTCTCAAAATGTTTGTTTTTGACTCTCCAGCCAAATGAAGAGCGATCACGCTATTGCGTTTGATTTCCATGATGAATATAGTGCGACTGCGTGCACTAATTTCATAAATGCGCAGTATATTTTGTAAACAACACTTTGATGTACCGTTATGCAAAAGAAAGACAAAAACTGCATTGTTGTTATTTTTTAAACAATGATGAAATGAAAAAAGGTAACACTTCAATTGAGCCACCCTGTAAATAAAAGAAACGCTGAGAATGGGGCCAAACGATAATGATTATTGTACGTTGTGTATGTGTGTTTGTTGTGTGATGGTTTGTAGTGTGGCCTGTACGAATACGGCTTTTTCACTCTGCACCCTATTCATTCATTCATTCACATGAACTCCAACCCAACAGCTCGAGGCCAATTTATGTGTAGCTAGAAGAAAATGAAATACCGCGTGAACGTGTGTATTTGCTAGCATTACGAAAACTATTATAAAGTTCATTGTTAACGATATGCTGACATTCAATGGAATCTCGAACACTTGTCCGGTTCCACACAGAGCGAACATTTTCTCTCACCAACAAAAAGTGATATTTTCGTATTGCTGTGGTATTTTACACACTAACACACACATACCACTATTCTCTGTAGTCTCTATCTCTCTATCTCTCGATGATGCTCATTTTTCGGCATTACAATTTTCGGTGGATTGCAAAACACATCTATTGCATTGAGAGATGAATTGAGCTGTTTTGTCGCTTGCACACACAACCGAAACGACTAGCCAAAGTGCCATACAACATCTCGACATAAAATTAATTGCTTATTTGTGAAGATAAAACTATCTTTAACAATGCGAACATCCTTCGATTGTCGAGTTGAAAATCTCACAATCTCAACACCCGTGTCTTGCCAATTGAGTTGAATAGTTCAACTACAGCATAAACCAACAACTTTATGATATCATCCAAAAAAGTATTTCTCTTCTGCTTTCAAAATAGCACCCGTAGCACTATGCGAACCAAATTCACTGACATTTTCAATGAAACGGCCATTAATGCAACATCATTGGTACATGTTGTTCATTCGCAAAACCAAAAGTGCAACAGCAGTTTTTGTGCGCGCAATTGTATTGGCCTGCTCTTTCTGCATCGTTTGTGTTGAGTTGGGTGTGAGTTTTGTGCTTGTGTTGACTATATTGTCATTTTAAATCGAACATAAAATTTGCAAATGAATCCACTTACGTTGTGCATGTGAGCATATTTATTTTGCGTTGGTGGCGGGATGAATGTTTGATGTTGCTTCTGTTGAAGGGATGCCACGGCATTTGGTGACATTGCCATTGTGTCTATCATTCCATCAGTTGGCTGTGGTAACGAGAGATGAGGAAATGGATGTGGTATACGCTGCTATGTGGTTCAAGTTGCATATTAGATATATGAAATGAGAAAGAGAAAAAAAAATATACACTCACGAATGAATCGAAAAATACAAGGGAAAAAACTGAATAAATTTTAAAAAATAAAATCTTAGAAAATCGCTGGGATTTGAGAAAAAAAAGATCCACACATAAGCTCAGCAAACAATTTTCTATTTCATCATCATCGTCTTGAATATTTTTGTCTTGGGGTTAAGATAACTATGTACGTTGTACACAAGATAAATAATCTTTGCGGATCACAACTACTTTTACATGGTATTCAAAACTAGAAAATGGACAAGTTTATGAGGAAGAGAAATTGATGATTTGACTAGTTGAAAATGAAAATTGAATTTGTCATTTGCATGAACGTGTTCTTTTGTAAACATTTACTTGAATTCGTATAAGGACAAAGTAAGAAACACAAATGATGTTAATTGGACAAGTGACTAAAAGTTAAATTAAGTCTTCAAGAATTTTTTGTGAGTCTCGTTGCGAAAACTTTTGTTTGTTCTATTTACAATGATGTTTGTTTACATTGTCCACTATTTTATGAACGATTGTATTTGTTGTTGGCTATGGTGTGCGCATACATGGTATGCGTGTTTGTGTAGTGTTTTTAATCAAAGTGGGATAAATGGGAACCAAACTCATTAAAATATCTATAAAAATAATCGCAAAGTTCAACAAATCATATTGTCAACATGAAACAATTTCTGGTTGTGCAATACAAGTATACATATATTGTTAAGAGTTCGGTTTTACCTGAGCATAAACATTTGGCCATGGATGTGGTATTACATCTTTGGGTATTGTAAAATTAAATGTACTAAGCGCATTTTGTTCAGCAACGGCTGTTGTCGCATAAATTCTCGGATGATTGCTATTATTTATCCATTCGAAACCCTTTTCGTCCTCTTCCTTCTCATTTAGGGTCGTTCCTATACAAAACAACAAATCAAATGTGGATGCAATAATTAAGAGAGCAAGAGAATTAAGAGAGCAATTTCTATAGAATCTGTTTTGCTTTAAAATGTTATATTTATTTATTTTGTACACGATGTTTTTAATTTTCTTTTTTTTGCATTCTATTTTTTCCGATAATTGTTGATTGCAGCTTGTATTCCACGAACAGCATGCAATTCACTGAAGTTAATCAAAATCTCATTTCAAGTTCATAAAAAAATGTGATGCTGTAAATAAATGAACAAAAAATAATAATCAACGACGACCCCTGTTGTAAGGGTAAGCGAGAAAAGAAAAGAGAGGCGAGCGAGCGAGTGAGAGTAAAACTAATCTTTTTCGCTAAAAGCAAACTCTTAATAAAACACAATGGGAACGAAAAACTTTTTACTTAATTCTTTGTGAACAATGTTTGTCGCCTGTATTGCTTTCCATTTCTCTCATTTATCAGTTGGACGCTTGGTCAACTGCAAATTTATTTCGAAAACATACAAAGAGCTGGTTTGTACACGTCAGCACCAAATACAATTTAAATGAGCACGGTAACAACAACAACAACAACATGAACATAAGACGATGACAACGTCATCGACGAATACGATTTGAAAGTGAAATCAATGTAAGAGAACAAAAAAAGAACGGAATAGTGGAAAAAATTACCTAAATTGGGAATTATATCGGGGTTCTTTTCCAGCGTTTCACTGCTATCTGCACATAAATCACGTGCAACTTCTTGTGATGATTGTAGTGTTCGTTGAGTGTTAAGTGCATAGGATGCTGTTTCGCAACGATCACTGTTGCCGCAGGTCGTCGATTGATCGCCCATCGCATCATTGGTGTTGTTACTGCTTTGATTGGCGCGTTTTCTTATAATAAACACAACAATGATTGCCGTTAATGCAATCGCACCCGCACAACCAAACAGCAAAAATGGCAACAATGATTTTAGTTTGGCAAGCGATGGCGTCGATGCCAACAGCGATGATGTATCGGTTTGTTTTTCCGGATTATTCAGAGTATATACTTGACGTATGGTTGAGTTGCTGCGGCCTTTTGCATTCTGTGCTATTAAGAATACATTGTATTCAATGCCCGAAATCAAGTTTCGTAATTCGAAGTATGGTGTTCTGTGTATTGTGGCAGACCATAAATGATGACATACAACCGGAACATGTGAGTGCGAGATGAATCGAAACGAAATAAAAAATGTTTGTGCGCCAATGTTGTTGGGTGTTGATGTTCATAAAATGCAGAATCCCGAATTTAAATTCCAAGTGCGAATGCAAATCAGAGTACAAAGAAAACGAAAACACTTAATACATTTAGAACGGCAAACGACAATATCAATGTCGGTACAGTGTGCACCGTCACCAAAATACTCGTGTGCATTTCGAATAGATTTTCCTTTCGACACTCTTCCTTTTTTTTGTGTGTTAAACAAACAAACACAATTCCACTTCAACAAACATGGGGATACATAAAGCACCCAAAGTGCAAAATGTTCAACAGTTTGTCTTCGATAATTTACATTTTTCGCCAAAAGATTTACGCTTCAGTCAAATCAATTTTCAATGAATTCAGTTCTTTGGCCAGTTTCATTCTCTTTATGCCCCCCGTTTGTTTCATCATCAAAAGCAAATAAAACGAGACGAAGAACATTGCATTTCGAAGATTCGGCATACAACTTTGCCGACTGGTCTCAAAGTTTTGAATTGAAATCAAAGGAAAATTTATTCGAATGCTTTTATTTTAGTTTCACTTCGAAGGGATGGATAATTACAAAAAATGAGAAAAGTTTTCATCCGCTTTTCGAAACCTCGAACAAAGCATTCGACGATGATAACGTGCAGAGAAAGGACAAAGATAAAAAGGAAACAGAAGAATAAAAGTGGAGAGAGAGAAAAAGGAAAACTTACTGTGACTTGAGTATGATTGGGTTCTGCTTTTGGCCATTGGCATAAGCTTCCAAAATGAACTCTTGTGGTAAACCGCCTGTAGGAATGGTGGCAATAGAGATACAGTGCATTAATAACGAAACGTTTGAATCAACCGGCAAAGTAAAAAAAAATAATAATAATGAAATTGTTGAAAATCATTAAAAAGTGTGCTGCCTTTGCGTATCAAATTTCTTGTAATCGAGAAAATGAGGTTGCTGATGAGGATGATGATGGTGATGATGGTGATGAGACAGAAACACGATAGAGCGTGAGAAATTCTCCGCAGGCTAGCCAGTACACTTACACACACACAATAAACTAATACCGACCATTGAGACATGTGTGAATCGAAAACACGGGGACTGTAGTTAACAGCTCACTCAGTTTCTTTCTGCCCAGAACAAGATGAAGACGCCGAACATGCAATTTTTCACAGCATTCGTTTCGCAGAGTCGAGAGTACACATCCCCCCAAGGGTGAGTCTCCTAGTAAGTTATATGCTCGAAACGGACGAAGGGTGGCAAAACACCCTCAATTTTGTCACAAATGTACAAAAGGAGCTCCGCATAGCGGAAAAACAAAGAAGAGAAACAACGGAGAGACAAGCATAAAATGCTAACCAGCCCTGCGATGTAATACCTAATGGCTCAGCCATAGACTAGTGGTTAGCGTGCCAGGTTTGTGAGCATGAGGACACGAGTTCGATTCTCGGTCAAATTTCGTCCGGTATTTTTCCACCGTGATTCGCTCAGGGATTATCAGTGGTTTAATGAGGAGAAATTTGAGCCGGGTCTCGGACTTGTGGAGTGCTTCGGAGGGCACTTAAAGCCGTCGGTCCCGTGTGTGTGCACAACGAATAATGGGTTCAGCATAGACACACGTAAAATGGAGTGCCTTTACGTTAGGTTGGTGTCTTGGATATGTCAAATATCCAATACGTCAACCGTAAAAAGGTAGTGCTGAACTACTGGTGAATATACCGGTAAATCAGTGGTGGTAGCATTCCTACATTGAATAGAGGAACCCAGCGCCATCTGGAGTATGGTAGAGTTATGAGTGTTCACAACAACTGCAGTGAGTTGGGTCCTAAGTGAAGCAATGGTCTAGGCCCTGCCGAGCAGCTATGGTCACAGAAGGGCCCTGCCGAACAGCAAGGGCCGCTGAAGTCCATGCTGAACAGCAAGGGCGACTGTGCCGAACAGATGGAACCCCGGCAGTCTAGTAGCATCATAACTCAAACGGGCGTCCGCGGAGAGAGTGGTAGAAGAGTGTGCAAGAGTGTGGTTTAGTACGTAGGCGCTTTTTCAGTCGGCGAATCGTGCATACTCATCGGTCATCTCACCATTGGTATCTTTGGAAGATTCCACATCCGGGCAAAAAAGCCACACACATATATATATTCATTTTTGCCAACTAAAATAATTTCAACTAAATTTTCAAATTTAACAACACCTATTCGACCAGAAAATAAAAAAGAAGGATGTTATATTGTATTTTAAAACAAATTAACGTCAATATACACAAAAAAATGTAGAAAATTTGACAAAAATATAATTTTGCTATTTTGCTAGGATTACATTTTGAAGGTGCAGCAAAGTGATAAATAAAAATTATGAATACTAAACATAATTCTAGTCAACAGGACAACAACAGAATAAAATTATTTTTTGGCTTTGGTCATTTTTCATCAAATCCCAGCTCCGTGTAAGATTTCAAGTCGATGTTTGAACATTTAAGCGAACATTTTGAGATTTTCTATGAAATCCAATGCTCTGATTGACGAATGAGTTCTGAAGAAAACTTTGCTGGAAAAAGTTTTGCGGCGAGTCATGGTGCTTTACTAAATTGGGCATACGGAATTCAAAAATACATGAATTTTGAGCAAAAATATTTACGGAAGCATATGTTTTGGATGACTTTTTTGAAAATCGATGGGCGAAAAAAAATTTCGTTGCAACTTTTTTTCCTAAAAAATCAAAAGTGCATTTTTTCCCCTAATACTATCTACAACAATACTAAAACCAATTCACTTTCATACAAATTTATTGGAAAAAATTCATTTGAAAAATTTCGAACTCCTCAAATCTTACAAAGTCGATTTTACACTTTTTTGGTCAAAAATTTGTGAAAAAACGTGAATGAGAAAAATATCGATTCTAAGGTAATTTTTCATGCTGATTCCGAATTTTTGGGTTTCAGGTCAAAAAATCACATCTTGGGGGTTTTTGACCCCCCAACCCCCTAAGGGGTGCAGGGACTTGGAGGGCAGGGGTCCTAAAAAATTTCTCTCGTCATTTTGAACAACTTTGTAGTACATTATTTTTTGATCAGATGAAGTTTTGCAAAATTGGGGGCACCCCCAACCCCCCTGGGGAAAAATTCAAAATTCTGCTCCGATAGAAATTTTCTATTTTTTACCCCCAACATACCCCCAAAGCGTTTTTTAAAATTTTTAAATTTAGGGGGTGCGCCTAGTTTGTGTGTGTGTGTGTGTGTGTGTGTGTCTCGACAACGAAAATGTTAAATGAAAATAATCCGAGCAAATTATTTTTGGATTAGATTTTAATTTAAAGAATATACAAACCATCAAATCCTTCGGTGCATTCAATTTGGAATCCGCTGTACGTTTGATTCAATACCGTGCAATTAGTTAAAGAATCTGGTCGACCTAAATTTTTACCAAATAATACAAAGCATAATCGACATTTATTAATAGCGAAATTACGGTATAATGTGTGTTCAGGTCCATATGCTCTCAATTTATACACATATACATGTTACGTGACTCCATTTCATTGACACACAATTTCACATTTCCAGTGAAAATTTTACAAAAACCGCTCGATTACATTAGAAGCATTTTGGTGTATTGTTTGATCGTTGAAAGTGCGGGCACACATCAAAACATTTTGTACAAATTGAGCATTGAGCATAGTTTCATACTACTTGGTTAGATCAATTTGAAGCAATCTGTTTTGTTAAACAGTTAAATGCATTTGGATCGCTTCAGCATTATCTAATTCAAAAGTGTGTCAATTCAACTGCACGCATAAGCATTCAATGTTGTGCATAAATTAAAATTACGAAATAAATGATTCATCAGTCAATCTTCAGACCAACTATCCTTTACGGAAGCGAGAGCTGGGTCGATTCTCAAAATTTAATTCATGGATCGGAAGTAGTGGCTGATATGAAAGTTTTGCGAATGATTTCTGGAGTATCGCGTAGTGATCAATGGGAAAATCGTATCAGAAATGAAAGAATTCGAGATGATTTGAATGTTGAGTCGGTTGATGATGTAGTAAGAAAGTGGAGATTGAGATGGTTTGGTCATGTCCAACGTATGAATGAGTCTCGTTTGCCAAAGAAGGTTTTGTATGCTGATGCAGATGGACCGAGAAATAGGGGAAGACCTCGTAGACGTTATTTGGATTCAGTTAAATGTGATTTGGATGTTAGAGGGTATGATTGGTGTAGAGAAACTCAAGACAGGGAAGTTTGGCTCTCGACAGGGAAGTTTGGAGAGGAATTGTTAGAGGAATTCGAGTCTAGTCGCTTCGTAAAAGACCACACACCGAAAGGTACAATCGGTCTATAAATGATTGTTGTTGTTGTTGTTGTTGTTGTACTAATTGATAAGACTTAACCAACAAATTGTTGTTGATTGTGGCAAATAACGAGCTAAATTGTAATTAAAAGAGAATTAGACACATTCACACATTAAAAACTCAGCCGTTTGCTCACTTCAACAAAATGCAAACGAAACTTTCGTTTCTAATTGAAACCGATATTTAACCCGATTTCCAAATCACTTAGTTTGAGTTTTTCGGTTTGGGGATAAGTTTCGAATGCACAATGCGCTCACTCTATATCTCTTTATCGCCCATGTAAACACGCATTCACAGCAATGTCTCTAGTCACCGTTTTCAATTCACATGGCAAAAGACCACCGAACAAGAAGCGTAACTATCGCTGAGCCAGCATGTAATTGTAATTAATATGTATGATATTCCTAAATCGTTTCGAATTGAGCAGTTTAGAAATGGTAACTACAACTACATAGCATAAAAATTGAGTTGTACAAAATATCATCTACGTTGGTTACACGTTGGATACAGAACAATTTTCGAATCATTTTGAAAGTTCATTCAAATGAATATGAACCATTTATTTTTAGTGTTTGATAGTTCATTAGATTATGTTTTTATGCGATATGCTAAACCATCATGTGTTATATAAAGAAAAGAAAGAAGAAGAAGAAGAGTCAGAAAAAAAATCGATGGTGAAAGTTTCAAGAAAGATAAATCGTCTTGTGGTAGCATTCGTAATCTTGTTGCTATTGCCACTGAACATTTACGAAAATTTAAGCACAAAAATAATCGAATGTTGCTGATACAAACGATGTGAATCGTTTTTTATAAGTCGTCCCCATAAACACCGCTCAAATGGCTTTATTGTAGCGCTGATTTTCGGCAATTAATTCTCAAGCACGAAAGAGAAAATGTATGTAAATCACAAAATGAATGAGAGAATGAATATCAATTAATTTCAATGTTTATGACGGCGAATCTGCGTTCACGACATGTGTGTGTGTGTGTTTGTAAGTCGTTTTTCGTAAACCCTTTTTTCCCCATAATTTTTCCGGCGCTTCATTTCGCGAGACCGCGCCGCCTACATGTGGATATGTTTAAATAATGTAAACGATAATTGTCGTCTTTAATGCGTTAGAAGTTTTATCGTATGCTTTTGGCATATTTTTCGTCTTGTATTATGTGTTTTGGCACATGAATGAGTGACATTGTGTAAATTTTAACGGAGCGCGCAGCACGGTAAACAATCTGCTGAGATTTCGAGTTAAGTGTTTAAATCTGTTTGATTACTTTAATGAAGGCAATAAACACAATATTGCAACATTGAGATCGGAACATGGAGACTACAAATGAGCGAATGAAAAAGACCGAATAAAAAACGGAAAATTGCAAAACATTTTTTTTTAAATATTAAACACACTGTCGATAAAATAATCGTTGCAAACACAGTTAAAACAACACTGTGAATTTTTCATCATATAACATTGTGTTTATGGAGCCTCGTAATTTTCCATCAGGCAGCTACCTGCTCCCATCTACCTGAGCGCTTCAACTTAATAAATACAAATTGTTGATACCGGCTCCCCGACGGGGCAATGCGGCGCATCGTACAATTATTACGTGTGAGTGTGTATTTAAGCGTCCGCACATTCACTCACTTTGCCATGTGTACGTGCCAAACACTTTACGGTTGAATGGGAAATCTTCTACATCACTTGTTTAATCTTCTGATTGTGTATCAATTAAGCACTTCGAAGTTACATGAACCAACGAATCAAAAAAGAAGAACACCACCACCGCCAACAATAAGAACAACAATATAAAACGAGAGCATCAACAATACACCTTATGCAAATGTTGATTACATTGAATTACGTATGAAAATGTCGATGGTTGCGTTGCGACAATGTCAAGGATAACATGAATCCGTATTTGTATGTGTACAGTATACACTTTAATTGATGGATTGCCGGTGCATAATCACTAAAATGACTCTGATTAAAAGCCCATGCATGGATGGTGGATGTCATTAATGACCCCTTTTTATATATTCAAACACAATGTGAAATTTGATTGAAATGATTTGATTAATATCATTGTCTTACGCTCATGCGAATGCACGAAATATGCTTCATCACCATTATCATGCACACTCAGACACACACATACACGAAACAAACAAAATTAGTTATTTCCCTGTCGCCCTTTTTCCTCCGTGTCGTCTGTTGGCGCATCATTTTATTTTCTCTCTTTGGCATTGTTTGGTATATGTTTGCACTTGTCAAAAAGATAAAAGAAACTCTTTTGCCATTCATCTTGCGCCTGCTTTTGAATGTGCATTCTTTGCTATTCTCGTTATCGTTAACTATAAGTATACTTGTTGACTGTGCTACCGTTACAATCATCAGTTCACCGTCTAATGCAACACGCATTTGAAAGTTAAACAAAGACAGAGAAAGCTATTGTAAACTGTATGGATGGCTATGAAGAGGACACAATGACAATGTGGCGACAACGACAATAACATTCCTTGTGTCTATATTGCCCAACATGTAATTAAAAGAAGTAGAAAAAAATGACTGTTTGCTTCATCAAAATTATAATCACATTGGAAGCTCCCAGTGGATTTTTAATGTTTCGCATTTTTTTAATGAACAGTTCTGTTGATAAATGTCGACACCACTTAAATAGGTTCATTGTATACAATCAACAGTTGCTCCCAGTAGATCACACTGTGCCTTATAATAAATAACGCATATTATATCCATCAATTGGATTCAATTATGGCGATGTTAGGGTAACATTAATTTCGAAAAATACGACAATTGGCAACCGATGCAAATTGTCGCGGCGGTTTGACGAAAAAAAAGAACGCTGCGAATGAAGGGAACAAAACCAAAATGAAGAAAAAAAATTCTAGCGTTGAGGTGGATATTCCATTTTATTAAACACGGAAAGTATGCTAAAAATTGAACAGGTTCTAATCATGACGTAACATACGCTCAGTACCAAGTCGAACATGTGATTCTTTGGGCAAAAAAAAAATGGCGCGCAGTAACCATTTGTCAAGTTGTAAGTTTGCGATTTTTCATTCGAATATTATAATGTAAGTTTTTTTTTAAGTTATTTACTTTTTCAAATGAATCTTCGTTGTGCGGACACTACAGAAAAGAAGGAACATACACATACAACTTTGCAATGATCCACAATGGAAAAGTTTTTCAAAAAATGTCGTTTTATTCGCATTTGTTTTCGGCAGATGCATATGCGAAACGAAAATCGAGCACATCGAAATCCATCCACATTACAAATGCGAGTAAAAAAAAGCGGAACGAAGTGCAAAAAGACAGAACGCAAGATTGTCCAGACGCGAGAAAGAGACAGATATAAAAATATATCGAAAAGTATTATGAGACCCACATGTAATCGACAATCAGAATCGTTGCAATTCAAGCGGCAGCGGACAATCAAAAACTCAACTATGTATGTGTGTGTGTATCTTTATCTCTAATCGGTAGCAGGTGGACTGGAAAGCATTTGATTCGAATCGATTCGTTTCTATTGGATTGAAAGAGCAAATAAGTATAAACATCAATTTTCCAATTTCGGTGTTTCGGGGCACGGAGAGCAAATGTAAACAGTAAATACATTACTGTTATTGTTACTGTGTGCTGCTTTTATTGCGTCTCTCTCCCTCTCGCCTCTTTTTCTTCTTCTTCTTTTTCTATATGCGGTTGTTCGTTTATGATTCGCTGTATTTTTTTTGTTCTGAACAAGTTCGGCAGTGCTCTATTTATGCTTATATCTGCATTTGAGCTATTGCGAATCCGCTAACCCCGCTCTTTTATCCATTCTCTATGTTTCTTTCTTGCGTAAAATTGCTTTCGCAATATTTGTTTGACACAAATACTATTTCGAAAGTTTTAAGGCAAAAAGCTATGAGCGTTGTACGACGAATGTACTCGTACTAAACACTGACTTATCTTTTATGCTTGATACAGATTATTACATGGTGTCATCTGCTGTGTCTTGCCGCTTCCGTATTGTATTGTTGCTAACATATTTAGTTTTTTTTGGCTAACTCAGCAGATCTCGTTTTCGCGTGCTGTCGCAATGGGATTGCGACGTAGAAATCAAAACTTGACATCATATATCGTTATGCGTGAGCCACACAGGTGCTGAATGGCAGAGCGTACACATACATATACGCGTACCCCCATATCGTTGATTCTCTGAAAGCAACGCAAGCGACAGGCATTTATATTTATATGAATAAAATACGGGCACTTAATCTTCTTTCAACTCGAATTTGTGGAGATGGTGTTTATATGATGGTGAATAAACTGAATGAGAGAGGGGGGAAGAGAATCAGTCTGAAATAGGTATTTTGTAATTGTGCACTTCTGTACATTTGAACCGACTATAATCTGTGCGCTGAACTTATCCTGAAATGTGGATTTGTATCTCTTGCCTACATCATTGTTGCCTGCGTTGTCTTGTCTTCACTCTCTCACTCTATCGTTTGCACGAAACTCGTTACACAATCGTTTCTTCGTTGTCTGTTTCAACGAGGTTTTTTCTCTCTTGTTTTTTTTATATTATTACATTTTTCTGCTTCTTTGGATTTTGTGCTTCATCTCACCGCCGGGATCAACGAAATCACCTAGGCACGGCATTTCAACCAAACTTTGTCATAAACGTGTACAAGATCCATTGTGTACAATAGTGTGCTACTGTTTCTTACCACAGTCTGAGCACATGGCGCGCACACACACAGTACGCAATTCGAGTGCTCTATTTCTATTTGTGTATCAGTCGCCGAGAAATGTGTGTTCGAATTTGAACTCAATTCGCGTTATCCGTTAACGGTAAAATGAATGCCTGCTGTTGCAGAAGGAAAGGGAAAAAGCCATGTCGCCATACAATGGCAAAGGCTATATGAATTAAATGCGACAAAGAAATAGTTGACTGGTTGCTGTGAACATGGAGCCGAACAAATGTGCATGCTTCATAAAATAAATATACAATCAGTTAATCATAACTTAATCTTGCCCTTTCTGACATCAAATCTCCATGCACTCGAACTGTGCCTGGTTGGCCTGGTGCGTGTTTGTCTTTTATTTTTAAGCAAAAATAACACCAAAAAACGAAGAAAAAAATGTCGAAGGTTCTTTCTACGTTTGCACAAATGTTTTAACTTTCCACTGTACTTGTTTTTGGGCGCTAGGATTCTTGTTTACACATTTATTCCCTGTCACACCGTTTGGTATTTTGAGAAATTTTAGTCGTTTCGTTCTCTGTCTGATTTTTTTCTATCACTTTGTTTTGTGTATGTTGCGAATTTTCTTTTTGGTTGATGCGTACTCTTTGGCTTAGGTCGTACACCGATAATAATTTTATATCAGTGTGCCCCGGTAGTGCGTGTAAATTTTGTTTTTCTCGCATTCGGCATTTCGTACCGAAAGCTCATTTTCTCATTCTCTTCGCAAAAGTCATCCATATTTACAGTATTTACAGTATGACTATATTTTGTTCTGGAAATTATTTTGGCTCCCGCTTGTATCGCATTTAATTTTTGCCTGCTACTTACGCAAACGCCAGAGATAATGAATTGCTGTATTTTATTCATTTATATTGTGCAATTTCTTCATCTCTGTCGCCAGCTTTGTAATCTTTCCTTCTCTCTCTCTCTCTCTCTCTCTCTCTCTCTCTCTCTCTCTCTCTCTCTCTCTCTCTCTTGTATACGGTTTGTCTCTTTTAAAACAAAACCATTTTTTACTGTCTACTTGGTTTTAGGCTTAAATCATTTAAAAAGTAACGCGCAACGCTCTTTTCGGTTTATACTTTGTACATTTGATCTGAGAGGAATGCTCGGTGAATCATAAGAAAGCTAAAAACATACCAAACGAACAAAATTACGGAACATTTTGTGATGGAGGGTTGAGTTTGGGAGATGAGCGAAAATGATTTTATTCCGGTATCTGGTTTGTTCGTTTTGCTTCACATTTTATTGTGATGTTTTCATTGTCTTTTTTAGGAGAGCCGGTAAAAAGGATCTACAAGAAGCTACATCGAATGGTGAAACGACCCATGATGATCACTAACAATGAGCCGCACACAATAAAATTCATGGTTGGTAAAATGGTTGCAATGTGAATGGATATTTGTCCACTAAATTATTCATAGATAACTTTGCTGGGGAAACCACTCCAACACGAGATTTTTCAACTTGGTATATGTGTGCGAAAATTGCCATATTCGGTTATTCTTCTTCTTTTTTTTTTTTTTTTAAAGAGAAAGCATTGGTCTGCATTTTGTATTCAATGTTTATTCAAAGGAAATGAATTGGCTAGTTGAAAATCGCATTTACAATGTGGTAAATTCGGACAATAACGACAAATGTATTATGGCTTCGTGTGACCAAAGGAAGTGAAAAACAGAGTTGTATTTGCTTAAATTGAAATATCCACTAAGAATGGTTTGACCTCCAACTTATTGTTTTTGGTTGGTGTAGAGAAAAACAACCGAAGTGTCATTGTGACAAAAAATGATGCTTGTTATATGGTTTGCAAAAGTGGCTTATAACAATAATATCGATGATAACATGGCAGTAATCAAAGGCATATCGTTACCAATCTGATAACACTTATAAAATTCACTGTGAAAAATCGAACGAACGACAAAATGTTTTAAAAAAATCCCCACCATAAAACTCACCGGATGGAAAAGAGTAAGACTACTGGTGACAGAAATACATCACTCGAAAGCAAAAAAAACACTGCATCATGTAATCGGCCGTGATGCGAGAGAGGTAAATTGTTTATTTAAAAGAAAAACGCAATGGTCGCAAAATTTTTCTCACACATTTTCTGTATCTATTTGTCTTGATTTTTGATCTCTTCATTAAGGGAGATTCCATAACCGATTAGGTAAACAGAGTTCTTTCATGATATCACATCGAAACGAGGAAAATGAAAAAATCTTAAACGTCGAATTGTAATTTCAATCGATTTGATAGTTTTTACGTATCGAATATTCGAAAATATTAAAGTACAAAAGTCACCATTTATTTGAAATTAAGGCAAATGATTTTTCCTTGCAGTGAACGTTCATTTTCAATTTTTGTAACAAAGAAATTTCGCTAAATTTTAGTTTGAACTAACTATAACAATTAATGTCGGAAGGTTTTGGTATTGTTTTGTACTAAATTCTAACCAACACCGGATATGATTATCCAACATAGAGCGCCGAGTGTTATTTATCAGAAATGTATTTATCTTTTGATGCGAATATTACTTTTGGTCGTAATTTGCAACAGAAGCGACATCACATGCAGTCGTAACAGCAATATATTGAGTCATGTTACAAATACGGTGAGAATTTATGTGCGTGATGATAACAATAGACAATAAATGGAGTGAGATGGCAATTAAAGTTGGATGGTGTACACACTCGGCAATTTTATACATATTGATATATATTAGGGTGGGTCAATTTTTTTTGCATCAAAGGGTCATAGCGATTTTGGTTCTATAGGTCATAACAAGAATTTTCGCCCAAGAAACCATATGTCCAAAATGAATTTCGAGTCTGCGGATTTTTCTATGTAGATATTTTCCAAAATATTTTAAAATCGACATCAACAAAAAAAAAAAATTGGAAAAAAATGAAGTAAACCACCATTTTTGTCAGTTTTTGTGTGGAAATCGTATCAAAAAAGCAAAATAAATGTCGAAAATGGATTCATGGACCCCAAAAACCCATACACATTTGGCTAGAGAAAAAATAATGTTTTTTTGCCTTTTTAATGCAATATCTAAATCGATTTTTAAATATTTTGGCAAATATCTACATAGAAAAATCCGCAGACTCGAAATTCATTTTAGACATATGTTTTCTTGGGCCATAGAACCAAAATCGCGATGAGCCTTTGTAGGTTTTTTCGGCCCCCTACAAATTGACCCACCCTAACATATATACATATATAATATAAACAAAATAGCCACTATAAAATCCATATATAACGAACAACAGAAGCAACGGTGGTGATGGTGGCGGCAGCGATGATCAAATTTACTACCAAGTTGCGTCTTTGCTCATATCACCATGGAGTGTGTATGTGTTTGTGTGTGAAAGTTCCGCTCGCACGGCGTAATGAATGCTATTCATTGACTAATGTTCTTTCTTTACAACAAAATATTTAGTAAATAAAACATATAACTCACCGGCTGGTATGATGATAAAAATGCATGGTTCGATCTGTGTTCCAATCTCATTGATGCCCCAACATAAAAGCGTGCCATAATCCTGAAACAAGTCAAGAATAAAGAGAGGAAAAAAACGTGTATATCCATTAACAATTTGAATGATATATCAATAGCAATCGAATTAGGAAGTACAAGATAGGATAAAACATATAACAAGGAACAAAAAACTACGCAATGTTCATTTTGCTAATCAAAGTACATTTAAATGCTTTTGTCATAGTGACTGCAAGTGTGTATGTATGTTTGTGTTTTTCTCATATATTTGTTTTCGCAATATCGTATCGAGACTTAATAGTCATGTACAAGTTAATTACGATCCAGATTAATATTGAAAGCGAATAAATATATACATGCGTGAAAAGGAGAGATAGAGAGAGGTTCATCGCGAACGTAACTTGAATTGACAATGGAGGAAATTTTGTTGTCTGTTTATTTGTAAAGTATTGAAAATAGCCTAGTGAATAGGTCAATATGTGTGCTATTGTTGGTGTTGTGATATTGTGAGAGGAAATAATATTGCAGTTAGTAATCAATAAATTCATCGAATGGAAACACCATAAATTTGTTGATTGCTTTTGAGACGCGAATGCTGTTTTTAATGACATCGTTGTCTGCATGCGATTTATATAGAAAAAATGTTTTCAAAGTCATACGAAGAACAAACACGCGATTGAGGTTGTAATAGCAACAGAGAGAAACTGAACGAATGGAATTAAACTTTACCGAGCAAATGTTGTTGTTTAAATTTACGTAATTATTGTTCGTCATTTGTAGATTTGCAAGCACTTAAATTGTTGTAGAAAATAATTTGTGCTCGGGAGGCGACAACGGGAGGTAACTGACGTTATTGGGTACACAAAGAGCATGAGTATGCAAAATAGAATGTTGAAATTTGCGAAATGTCCCAACTGCAACTCAACTTGAATGTGCATAGTTTCTGTCTATCTCTATCTCGGTTGCTTTTTCGATCTTTATCTCATTTAATAACTTTGCTTTGTCGGACACAGAAATGCCGTCAAATGTGCAGCTGCATGATTCTCTTGCTAATGGTTCTGGAATGCGCTTTTCAACTGTCTACACCAAAAATATTTTAATATTTTATTACAACAGCAAAAACGTACAAAAATAATCTTTTCTCTTCTTTTCCCATTTTTTTTTATTCTGCACAAGATACAAGAAAAAGATGAAAAACAACTGCAAATTTCATATACATTTGGCAAGTGCATGATAAAAATGCCTCAGACAAAAATTTGCTTATATATCGAGATATAATTTAATTTTCTTTTCAAAGCTTCATCCAAATGACTTTACAACGATAAAAGTTCTTTCTCTGTCCATTGAATTTGTGTGTGTTTTTTTTTTTGCATACGCGACATATAAAAGGTAAGAGTTGGTTCTCTGTACTACTTACATGTTCTGTCATCGGTGTATAGTGTGCAACGGCATTATGTCGTTCGGGAAAAATTTGTGAAGCGGGCAAATCGAGGAATTCTGTTGCTGATGCGTTGAACTTCCAATTGAATGTGACGTTATGTGGATTGGCTTCCAATTCGCATAAAACTTTGATAGTCTCTTGACGACCGCCACTGTAAATCGTTTTTTGGCCTGGACGACAAACTGGAGCAACTGCATACATACGCGCATACATGCATCGATACGGAAAAGTGGCATTATCCGACGAAGGAGAAAAGAGAGAAAAATATAAAAGAAAATTGAAATTATTTTGATGTGTTTGAGTGTTGATACATGCAAATGAAGCGGTCGTTTTCCTTTCGATCTTATGCAACCATGTTTTATTTTTTCATACATTTTATAGTTACTTAGCACTCTCACTTGGCAAACAAACATGTTCACATGCGTCTCATTTGAGGTATTAAGCGAGTAAACGAGAAGCTGGAAAAATTTACAATGGCAATGGAAATCAAAAGTTTGCAAAAGGCAAGCGAAAAAGAGTTTTGTGAAAAACAAATGAAAGAATGGTGAAAATGGGTATTGGAATGAGTTAAAAAAACATATACTATCAACAGCAAGAGCGAATGAAAGAGAAAATAAGAGTGGGAGCAAGACAGAGAGATATAGATAGAGAGGAATGGTATTGCACAAAGATGTGGCTACAAATTGTGTAACTGAATAATTGAAATAGACCGAGAGATATGCCATTAATTCCATGTAGTGGAAGTGATGCGCGCGTGAACGGCATTCAGACGAGGTAGATAAAATGCAAGGCAATGATGTAGCACACTAAATTGATAAAAACATGTGAAAAACGAAAACAACGGAAAATGGAAATGGAACGAAGAAGAAGGAGAGAAAAAAAACGACAGAAATTTCATGTACATTTTGAATGTTTCAAAACGCACACGAAAAATACCCAAACAACACAGCAAAGCTTTTCCATTCCATTTGCCACTTTGCGGTTGTGTGACTCAGCGTTTGGCTGCTGTCATTTCCTTTTCTCTTCTTAAGCTAGCCTAATGGCAAAAGCTAAACGTAAACCTTAATGAAACAGAACGACGTTGTGCAATGAGTTTGTTTTGCTGTTGCTTTTGTGTCATGTGCGTCTTTTTTCAAAATTCTTTCTCGTTTGTCTGTTTGTTTTAATATTGCATTTCCACCGGTCGCATTTCACAATTGCAGAACGCAATTCGGTCATTTTATCTGACTTTTTTTTCACTCATTTTACAACACATACAAAAAATGTCGACAAGAAAAACGTGCATTACAAGAAAGCAAACATTGAATGAGACAAAAAATATTTTTAACTACAAAACAATAGAAATGAAGAGGTATTTTTCTACAAGAGGCCACGAATTCAATGTGAACTTTAACGAAAGAGTTGAGCATTCTTTGAAATAGTAAGAACAAAAAGAATTGCGTATAATTACATTTAATGTCCAAATGCACTGGATTACTTTCTCCATCACCTTCACGATTGCTCCCAATACACGTATAAAGGCCGCTTTTGCTTCGACTTACATTCTGCAACACTAAACTCTGGTTAGCTACGATTATTCCCTCTGGCACATTGTTGTCGAGCGTTTTACCCTTCGAATTAATACAATTATTATTAAGTTGTCAACAGCATAGCTACACAGCACATTTATACACAGAAAATGCACAAGAGTCGAGAACACAGCACAATACAACCGTTTCAATTCACATGAAAATCAATTCCATCCCAAATATCACCTATGGCTGAGCATATATACGGTATTTTGTTTCATTGAGAGCCAACCCGAAACGCATCATTTGCACGGTTCATTATTTCACTGATGTAAAATACCGGAGTTGCGGTGAATGAATATGTCTTTATGTCAGTTGAATGTTATCTTTTGTTTTTTCCTTCTGGTTGGCGCCAAACTGTGTTAGCTGGTCTTTAAATGTAATAATTCGCCAAACAAACGAGCAAATGTGTTCGGCTTTTGTTAGTTATTTTATAATACGATGACACGATTTTGAGTTATAATGTAAAACTATTTTTTGCTCTCTTCAAGATAGGTGTTAACTATTAATTAGACGGTTGCTTTTTCCATTTTCTTTTTCCGTTTGATTGCGGGTGGCCCTACTCTCTGTTTGCGTGTATGTCGACTGACGTCGCTTTTTTCTTCTTCTATCCGATTTATATTTCTTGATTTTTATGCAAACTGGCAACCGGTAAAAAGCCATGACGTGAGTAGAAACCGACAATTCACGCTGTTGCTCGTTTGTTCGTACTCTTTCTGCACTTGTTCATGTTCTCCATCAAAAGCACAACTAAAACAAATGACAGCTGTGCCTTTTGTCCTTATGGCCATCGTCTTACAGTCTCACAGTGGCGGTTTGAGCTCCTTGCTCGCAACCACATGCACACAAATTACTGTCACGGTAATCCAAAATTAAGATAAAATACAGAGGCTTAATGGTATGCCCTGTGTGCTACTGCCATTCACCAGTTCGTTTTTCTTTCATTTCTCTCATTCACTCATCCTAATTTTCAGTTGCTCTGTCTTTTCCTCTATTGCACACACATAGACAGACGTACACACATATATAGATATATAACCACCGTGTATCGTCATTATGTGCGATACGCTAGACTCGAACATCCCTATAACTACAAAACATTGAATGATCCAAATGTAATCAAACGAAATTCCAGCTCTGCAATCATAAATGTTCATTACGCGCGCGTTTTTCCGTTAGCTATAAACCATAATAATTTTATAAAAATTGTTGCGCGCGAATTATAAATTATACACGCTCAAGATGGCATTAATGCTAAAGAGAATGAGCTTGAAAAATGGCACAAAAGAATGAACCTGCAAAAAACACAACCCGAATGTATGAAGAAATGATGATAATGTGCATGGCACGAATACAGCACTATTTAATAAAGAAATATTGAAAACATATTCATTCGCTGAAGTCTGAAGAACATCTTTTTATGGTGGTGTGCAATAAGTCTTGCGATTGTTCGAAACAACAGGAAAAAAATGTAAAAGCAGCAAGAGCAATGTTTGTATCGATTTCAATGGGGTAGCGCGGAAAATCGGGTTTGAATAGATTGGAACGAACTGAAATCGAAATGAAACGATTTGATCCTTTTGTTCGATGATGCATTCTTCATGTTTTATAAATTAATCGATGATTTTGCAACATTCGATTAGCGTTTGCACTTGCTGCGAACGAGTTATCGCAATTTGGTATATCGTCGAACTATTTTGTGAGATTATGTTGCAGCACATTTTCAGCGGCAAACGATAATGAAGCAGAAAAAAACGAAAGAAAATAAAACGAATATGGGCAACGGTATTTTGTTATGGCTAATGCTTGGGAAATGTGCTGAATGGGCGCTATTTACCGTAAAACCATATCGCCAATCTATCGAAATGTATTTCGGTGCACCCGCCATCGTGCACCAGCAGCACAACATTTGCCGTGCATTTTACAATGATCATGCTGACGACGGTGAGGATGACGACGACGACGGAAACAAGGTCCACGACATTATGCTATGACTCGATAGACGCGCTCGCCCGAAAGAAAGACCATTGCTACTATTATTTAAGTATCGATTTTGTACCTTTAAAAATGCATTGAAGTGCAAAAAATCGTTTTGGAATTACGAACAAAGGACCAACGAAAATGCTATTAAAAAACCGCACTCCATCGAAAGAAAGGAAAAGAAAACGAGAGAGAGAGAGAGAGAGAGAGAGAGAGAGAGAGAGAGAGAGAGAGAGAGAGAAAAATCCAGAACCATCAGAGAAATTAATGTTGTGTAATTTTCAACACGTAAAGCCACAAAGCAATATTAAAGCGTTTCGTTTCATGAACCGAAGTGGACGCAAAATTGAGCATGTTTGATTTATTTATTGAAGTGCTTTTTGTTTCGCCTTTTGTTATTCTCGTCTTTGGACTTTCTTCGCTCTCTTTTCGAAGTCAAATGTGCCAAAATTAAATTTCTCGCCAAGAACGATACTTCGTTTGACGCTGCAGCTTCGTGCAATTCGAAAAGTGTTGCTATATAAACAAGAATTCTTTCGTTTGTATTTGCTTCTTTTTTTCGTTTGATATTCACCACTACTATTATGTTCTTTTTATTCCATTACCCGAATGTGAAAAGGATTGCAATTTCCAGTTGCTTTTGTTCGAATCGCACTGGATTTCGGACTATTTTGAACGTAGATTCCTGTAAATCGGTTACAATGACGACTCCAATTCAGATCATAGCTTAAAGCATTCACTTGCCTTATGAAATGGAAATTCTGTCGAAAAATTTTATTCGTCTGATAGAGCTAATATCAATGATCCTTATGCAATCCATGTTTCCTATTTATTTTTATTTCATTCATATTGCAATGCAATTCATTCGATGTGCCGTTAATTAAAACCACCAAAAATTGTGTGTGCATGCTTTTTGCAACCCAAAACAGTTTAAATACGTTTAAAGAAGGTGTTTTAAGTTTTAAGGTGCGCCCAAAAAAAGGTGAACGGCAAAGACTATTCAAACTTGTTTGCACCAAACTGAAGAACTATATTGGCGTAATTCATCAAGTGCAATGTTAATAGTGCCGATGGTGTTGTCGCTCATTTCTATTTTTGTGTATATTTTTTTTTTCTTGTTCTGTTCAGTTCTGTTTTGTTTTGTTTAAGAAAAGTTTAAACAATCTAGTGAAGGTTGTTCATGTTCAAATTTCATTCCTTTCTCGTTTTTCTTTTTGTCTATCATCCGACATAATCTTCCGGATAAACATTGAAGACAAAAATCCTCGACACGTGATGTTAATCCATTACTTAACGAATTAGCTTTCAGATGCACATAAACACACTCAAAAATCTAACGAAATGCATGCACACGATTCAACTTCCCTTTTATTTTATTTTATTTTTCGTCTATTTTTTTTGTTTCATCTCATTCTTAGTTTCTGAGGACGGGGTACGGAGATTCCCTTGTATTAAACTCGAAATATTCTGTGTATAGAGCAAATTTTCCGCATATTTCTATTTGTATATTTTGGATTTTATACAGTCAACGGGAAAATCGAGAGTTTCCGCATATTACATTGCGAATATGTACGCAGTTGTGAAATAGTCGAAGAAAAATGCGATAAGCGTTAAAATAGTGTGTGTTGTATATACGAAGAGTAAAGCGAAACGGAATGAGTTTGCGAATGAACAAGCAAAAGCGGTGCGGTTTATTACATCACCTCACATACCATCAGATAGAGAGAGATGACGAGAGTTGAATGCGTGCTTAACATAGCTGTGCTATGGAATTAATAACTTGGGCTTGCAAACGAATTCGCACTCACTCACACTCGTCGACGCTTCAACTGTACGCGTGTGTTTACTCAATGTACAGAGAAAAGAAAAATGTAGAAATAAAACTACCAAAAGAACTTAAACAACTTATCTTTGTAAATGGTTTTATGATAATTTGAATTTGAATTTATTATATTTTGCTCGTGCTTTATTTTGATTTTGTAGTCAGCCAAGCAGTCAAGTCAGTTAGTGAATAAGAGTGATAGTGAGGCTGTTGGTTCACTCCATCTCCATCTCTACCCCGCTCTGTCCTTCATCCGTTCCATACATATTACATGTCATGTTATTCATCTTTTATTCAAATATTCCGACTATATTTAATTAGATGGTTGTATGATGATGGAAGTGAAACATGCCGCAACATCTTTTGCAAGAAATATCATTGCGCAAAAGGATGTGCACGATGAATTTAAGAAGCAAAATAAATATAACTTTTCCCACGAGACAGTTTCAAACAGCGAACGCCGTATCAACGACGACGACTACTACGACGATGAAGAAGAATAACAAAACTCAAGTGAGGGTGGGAGGGTAGGCTAGAGGCAGAGAGAAATGGATATAGATAGATAGAGAGATCGCGATTGAGTGAGTGAATGTATGAGTGATGCAATGAAATTAAATGTGCGTGTCCAATAAAATGTATACTGTTCCGGTTGAACGTCCACACAAATATTAGCGTCAATGGTTATGAATGAGTAAAACGAGACATAGATTCGGGCATAATTTTGTGAGATTGCCAGATAGTGGTCAAACGTAACGAAATTAAACCGTCAAACACTTTCAAACAACACATACTCACTGATTACGGCTATTCATTTCATTGCCGCGAGCCATTTCAACAGTCACGTCTACTATTCATCGGGGCTGAAAAAAAACGAAAATTTTTCGCTTGCTGCTTATTGTATTTATTGTCCTACACACCATCAAATTTCAAATATAAACAAGAGATGTGAAAATACAAGCATTTCAAACTCTTATATTTACACTTGTCAGAATGTCTCACAACTTACACACATAAACTAATACCGGCCATTGAGACATGGGTGAATCGAAAACACGGTGACTGTAGTTACCAGCTCACTCAGTTCCTTTCTGGTCATGGGGGGTATCGAATATCCCTCCCAGCTTTAAACACGAAAATTCTGCGGCATGTCCAACCTGCCCAGAACAACGCGGGGAGAGTGGTAGAAGAGTGTGCAAGGGTGTAGTTTAGTACGTAGACGCTTTCCCAGTCGGCGAATCGT